CTACTGGAGAGCGTCAAGGAGAGTGGAATAAGCACTTTACAGACTCTGCATAAAATGTTTGTACTCCAGAACTGCTTTATTTGGCTTAAAATTTGTGATAGTTGGTGGGAGCTTTTTGAAAAGTTCAACTGAATATGTATGTTCAGAGTCTTTCCTTGTGAAAGCTGGGTTCAGATATAGATTTGTGATCAGAGTCCTCAGGCCAAAAATTTGTAAATACATCCTTTTCCCTTATTACAAGGCATGCCAGCAAATCGGGACTAAACTCTGATTTACTGTGCAAAATGGTCCTTATTTTCAGACTCTCAAGCAGGCTCGCAAGATTTTCAGATATGGATGGCAATTATCCTATTTTTTTAATTAACATAGCAATAAATATTACCCAGCTTTCTAGACACAGGTAGTGAGTTGAATCCATAAGAGCCTTGCCTACCAGGAACACACTGAGCACCCAAGACTTCTGAGCCATGTGCACTGTTACACAGTATAAAGCCTTGTTACTGCTCCGTACTTTTAGGCTGAAACACTCTTTCATGAAAGGCAATTAAACAACAGTTAATTGGATTTCACAACTGGCTCTAAAACTTTACACTTAGCAATGTGTTATTTAGTATTTATATTTGCATATGAAAATAGTCTTAGTTAATGCTCTAGACCACTGTAGTCTAAATATTAATTCTAATAATTGGTAATACCTCCCCATCTCTTACTTTGCTGTGTTGCCTTAAATTGTGCTGTATTTTTTGAAGAGGATTCAGAACAGACCCTAATGAAGTTTTCTACCAGAATTTGAAGGATTTTGTTTTTCAAATACTTGCCAGAGGACAGTGGTCTATTACACTTGGTACTGGGCAAACATGAAACAAATTCTGCAAGTTGGGCTGTTTTTTTTGTAACACCTGTGTTGATCCACAGAAGTCAGTGAGTCTCAGGTAAAAAAGAACTTCCTCAGGCATCAAGTCTCATAGTGCTTAATTATAGCTGTGTAACTCTGCATGGGAAAATAAAAATGAAGCTGCACATCAAATATTGTCCTTTGCTGTAGAGGAGGAGAGGTAGAGTAAGTATATTTTAAATTACTGATCCACTTTCATGCCATCACTATGAAGCAAGTCTAAAACTTGAAAGCAGGAATGAAAACAAATTCTTAGCTGTAAAGTTTAGTAGTCAGTGTTCCCTTGAAGACAAATAGTGACGTCAGTGAACTAACTTCAAGGTCGAGTAAATAAGATTAGAATAATAAACTCTAACCTCAGAAACTACAGAAATCTTCAGTGGACTGTTCTGAAGACAGATCAAACAATTATTAATTTTGGGGAAATTCCTATTGCAGACTATTTTAACTTTTTCAGAAAATCCACAAAATTCCTTCTCTCCATGTGCCACTGCTGGCATATATATAAATGTGGGCTAGGGCAAAGAAGGGAAGTCTTTCATCTTGTTTTTGCTGAGGAAATAGCATAATGGCAGTCAAAAAAGAAAAAACAAAAAAAATAACTAACCCCAAAACTACACTTTGACTACTCTAACTTATCTGTTATGTAAAGCTTTTATGTGTTTTAAGGAATTGTTTAAAAAAGAAACCCGAGGATATGCAAAAGACTCATTAATACAAATATGGTGATATTTATATGTAGTTTGTATTTATTCAGCTAAGCACTGCCAGTATATATGCTTTTTTTCTTCTTCAATGCCAGCTGAAATTTGACTTAAAAATACTGACCAGAACAGAGGAGCATAATGTTCTTGCATGCCTGAAGATATTAAATCTTGTGAAATCAAAGTGGGCAAAATCCACATTAACATTAAAAAAAAAAAAGACAGTCTCTTGATCTTTACTGTCAGACAGAAAATTTTCCAACAGATATCACTTCAGGATTCTGGCACTGGCAAAATGTGCATGCCAGACACAGGAAACCAATAAAATCAAGACAAACCACAGAAACTTCCAAAATGGTATCATTTTTATAGTTTAATGAGAAGATGGATGTTCTTACTGTGACTGACCTCCAGGAAGCAGACTTTTAAGCCAATACAAATATTAGCTTATTTAAGCCTCTGAACATACATATCATATTAGACACAGGACAATCCAGCTTAGTTTTGATCAGATTTTAGACCATTAACTGAATTCTACTTTGCTTAGCAATTTACCTTATTAAAAAAAAAACCAAAAAAACAAAAATCCCCTAACAAAGACCCCCAAAAATGTGCAATGTTTTCTTGCATTTAGCAACCATAATCTTAGAAGTCAGTGTTCTCTATATTTAAACTAAAAATTATTTATAAATCTGTACTAATGTTTAGTTCTACCTAAAACTTTTTAAAAATGTTCACTGTAATTCAGGTGAACATTGAAAGTCATTGTGTTTGCTAATGAAAATGGTTTTAATACACTAAAGTTAGCATTAGCTAATTTAAAATCTTCATTGGAGAAAAAATGGTGAGGTGAAATATCTAAAATTGTATTTAGTTTAACAGAATTAGCTGTTAAAAAAGGATGCTAACAGCTGCTAATTGACCTCAAACATCCTTATTCACATGGATTCATAAAAATAACTCTACTGATTTGTATGAGAAAGAATAAAACTATTTAAGCAGAAATACTCAGTTGAATTTGAACAAGTTACCTATAGTTTCAAAACCATGACTGGATTTGGATGATCACGCTCTCACATTAATTCTCTGTGATTTATAGGTCATATGAGAATTCTGATGAAAGAATGGCCAGCCAGCACTTTCAAAAGTGAAACTTGATTAGATCACCATTAGTAAATTTAGTTTTTCTGGGCCAGATTTACCCTTTTAATATAGTATAGCAATGCCATCAATTTTGTAAGAATAGTCTGAAGTCCTGCTGATAAAATTAGAAATATTAGTTTTAGATATTAAAAAAGGTACACTTAGTATTTTATGAGATTATAAAGCAAGCAACACAGTTATGCCCCTCTTTGTCATTTGCTTTCAATTCCTTCTACTCACTTCTTGTTTTCCAACTACCCAAATCTTAAATTGCCTGCGCTTTTTTAAAATCACCAAACTCTTCTTGTTTTTGTTTTTTTTTTCATTGTGTTATATTTTATCCTCCCCAGGCCATCATAACCTGTAATAATTTCTCCTATTCTGATACTTAATTTTTACTATTCCTACCCTATTAAACTCAGGAATAAAGTCTTGCACCAATTCACTTGCATTTATGTTATTGTACCTTTCACAGAGTAAACACCAACACAATAACTCCACATTAGAAGTATAAACCTTAAATGCTGTTGTATGCTTACACATATTATATATTTACATCCAATGTAACAGATGCCTCTATTCCTGGAAAGAATCCTCTGTAATGTGAAGTCAGTACACCCAAGACCTCCAAATACAAATCAGGAACTATACAGAAGTATTTTTAAGAAATCTGCTTTAAGAACATACAATGTAGCTGTCACAAAAGATAATCCCTTTAAAATCACCTGTCCTTGCTAGCACAAAAACAAGTAGTCTGTCTTTTATGATGATCCACTAAAGCAGGAACAGGTGGCCCTTTGATTGAAGGGGCAGGAAAAAGGCAAGGATGCACTGTATAAAAAACCTTGCAACTCCCACAACCAATAAATAAGAAATGGATGAAAATAGACTTTTTCTGTTTTCCCTTCAAAGACTCATTCTGTCATTTTTATTATATTTGTAGGAACACATAAAAAATTCATCCTAGGTAACAGTTCTATGAGTAGAAATACAAACATTTATCCTTGGCCTAGATTTGTAACATCATACCTGGCAGTTATCACTGAAGATCAACATTAAAATACTGCTTTTCTGTGTTAGAAATTTTCTAGTGGTGCACATATGAGAGAAAGCCTGTCCTAGAGCATCATTGCCTCAATTCCTTGTTCTCCATATTTTCAACACAAATATAGAAATAGGAGGGCTGATCCCACAAATTTGGGGATCAAATTTTTCTTTTAAGCAGCTTCTTTGTAATTTAATTTAGCTGCTCACTTCAGTTTCATAGATGGAAATTCTCTTAGGGAAAAAAAGTACATTGCAACCTTAAAACCTCTGCTTCTCATAGGTAATTTCGAACTTGAAACTCCTGCAAAAAGCTCAAAGGCTGAGGGAGAGCATTAATCTCAGGAATGGAAAATATATATTTCACAGGTTAAGATATCTTTTTGAACCTTCATCTGCTGCAGAAATACTATCCATTCCTAAAAACAGGAAAGTTGCAAACATACCTTTACAATGACTCAAATCCTGATTTGCAAGGTAGAAATCTGAAATTCCATCATACTATTTCATGGTAATTGAGTCAAAGACAGCAATGGCTCTAGTCTCCTGCATTCTATTCCTTTGAATACTGAAGCTTGGCCTGTTGTGATGACAATGTTATTTTGTAACCCTGCCTCTGAGGACCAGCATTTTGGGTGTCTGCTGTTGAAGAATATAAACGTGAAATAGAGATGTTAAACAGAAGAATACATTATATTTTTTTGGATTGCATTCTATTAATGTGAGAATTTGGGGACCAGATATTTGTGATATTTCTTTCTGCAGACACCCAGTTATTCCTACCACCAACACAACTGAACAAAACAGAAAAAGTGTCAAGAGAGCAAATCTTACCTCATAGTGAAAAGAAATAGATATCAGACTGCTGGAAGTATACTGCAGACTGTTACGCACACTTAACAGCAGTTTTAAACCTGTATTGAAGCCAAATTATCCTCAAGAGTAAAAAAGAAAGAGGCAAAAAACATTAATTATTACAAATTACAACACAAGCTTGCTCTGCTGCTCTTGCAGGAACTTGAATTGTATGTGAGACCTACATAAAATGCCCAGGGACAACTAAAAAGTGTTTGGAGAAAAATTTAGCATGGGGACTTCATAAGAGAACAGAGGAATCTGAATTATTTTATTCTAGTCAGTACAGAACTGTACCTTTGAATTCACGCTTTTATAAAAAGAGATGATAAATCACTAGTCAGACTAAAGTACGTTGCTGGTTTTCAAAGTATCTTTTATATATTGATGAAATATCCAAAGGGTAAATTTTGACAATGATTAAAAACCATCCCATTATGAACAGCATGCAGTTCACTGGAATATAGCTCTCTGAACATGACTACGTTCCAGATGATTAAAGATTTCCTCTTCTGTTTCTGGAGTGAGTTGTATATTGTCTTTGATTGGAGACAAAGGATCTGACTTTCTACAAGAAGGAAGTTTTTCATACTCTCTGCACAAAAAAACCAAAGACAAAACAAAACCAAAGGATGTTATGATATTTTGTGTTTCTGACCACAGGCCTGTAAGAATATACAGGTTAAAACAAAGAAAGACCCCTCACCTAACTACCCACTCCACCTAGGAAAAAGTAAAAAATAAAAATTTATGATGCGAAGTTTTAATTTCAGTACAACTGAACAACTTCACTGAAAGTGACAGAATGATGGCTGTTAGCTTTATTTATGAAAGACTATATGTACCCCATCCTACTTTGGGTTATACATGCCTTCTTAACATTTAAGTCTTCTGAATAAATGTAGTTTTATACATAGGAGCACTTCATTGCTCCTGTGAGCCTTGACATTGAGGCAGAACTGGTGAGTGTCCCACATAATGTATTTGCCATAAGATGACATAATTGTTAAAACATAAGGCTAGAAACATCTTAAAATCTGAAAAAAAAAAAAAGAGCTAAGCAAGTTCTAGCTGTAAAAAACCCAATTTGTGAAATGTGTTGAGGAAAAAAAATCCCCTAAAAGCTAATACACTATTGCTTACATAGAAGTAATAGAAAAATATATATTCCCAGTATAAACACCCAGAGGTTACAAACCAACCAAAACTGGATGGATAAGATGTGCATGGTGGAAGCCAAGTGTTGCAACCATCAGCAGAGAGTGCCACCTAAGCTCACACTGTTCTATCTGCCTGTATTCTGATAAATCCAAATTTATGAATTTTCTCCCTGTGAGCAACCCTGACCAAATAGAGGTCAAGCAATAAATACAGAAGACTTTCACTTTGTTCTTGAAACTGTCAGTCATTCTCACACCCCATAAGATAGATAATAAGTAAGGTTTCTAAAAATGTAAATACCCTAAGTAATATTTTTTAAACAGAACACAGTTCTATGTTTATAATGGCCTACCCTAAGTCCCAAACTAAAATACATTCATCTGAATTAACATATGCTCACCAATATGAATCAACATTTACTACTCAGTGCAAAGAATACTTTTGTCTTACTCACATTTGGTTTCAAGTTAGTGAAAATAATTTTATTTAAGTAAGACCTATTTATTCAAAGTTGAAGTTGCTACTTAAAGCTGGGAAAACTTTGCCACCAGGAGTTTTTATCTGAGCCCATGGAGATAGTGTTAGAATAACTACACTTCAGATTCTGTTGTACCTTTTAGAAATAATAGTTGCCCTTCAAATTCAAACCTTGAAGCTATTTGCATAAACTTCAAGTTAGACAAGTCATCGCCACAACGAAAAGCAACAGCATTTTATAGTGTACAAGAATGTCTCTTGTAACCAGAAACTCCAGCTAACAGAAATATTCCATCAGTTCACTGTCATCTTGAAAGCAGAATATTTCTGACAATCAGCCATCTCCAAATGTGAGTGACATAGAGTTAAATAGAAGTAGTCTTGTATGCAATTAAATCTAGCAACTTTAATGCAGCTTTTGCATTTAGGACAAGAAATGATTGTTTGTGTTTGATGGCAAACAATGGCAATGATTTTCATATCAATTATGGTAACTAAATGTAATTATCAAACTAAATGTAATTATCAATAAAATTCAGTAAGTGAATTTTAGCTAAGAGTTTTTCCTGGTTAAATGAAAAAACTAATTATAAAAATATATTTACCAAAAACCATGCTTCATGTTTACATCAAGCATAGGAAGTTATAAATTGTATGTAGAAAATATCTAATTTTGCGCTGTTATCCTTATGGAATTGTATGGAGAACATGTGTAGAGTCTGCTTTGAAAATTGTTTCTTTGGGAAAAAAGTAGGCAGCATACTAAGTAAAGAGTTAAAGCAACTCACCTTTTAAATTGGAAGCTTTTCCAGAGTTCCCCAATAGTGGATTGTAGCCCCAGCTTATTTTCAGTATCACAGTCCTTTTTCTTCTGCACAGGTGACATTTTCCTGCTTAGTCCACTTACTTTAGCTGGTATCAATGGCTTGAGCTTTGTTGCCATATGTGACCTTATATTACTGGATTTACGTAATCCAGGAACCTATAGGATTTTAATATTGCACACATGGTTAAAATGACAACCTGCAAGCAACAGGTACCATGCTGCAAAGCTTATAATCAAAAAAAATAGTGGTTTACATTGTATTGAGATAATGAAATTGAAAATGCCACAACAAAGTATATTTAGATAGTCTATAAGCCAAAATTGGCATCTCAAACGCAAGATATACTGCAGCTGTAAAAACTGGCAAACCTGCTTCCATAAGTCTTCATATTAATGTTGTAAATACTAATTTCTTTTGAATTCAGCTTTTAAAACCTACTGAATAGTTACTTTTTCATCTGTTTGAAAACTATTTGTTGTGCTTTCATGTAATGCCATCCTTTAGAATTTTAAGAGCAGTGGCTCTCTGGTATCAGTCCCTGTGAGTTTCACTCGGATTTCACAAAGATGGAGCCATAAGCAAGAGCGCAGGTAACAGTACAATGATCCCAAGGATCCTTAGAACTCTAGATGGACCTTCTTATCCAATTTCTATACCAGGAGCTCAGAAAAGTTGTGCTTGGCCAGAATCTGTCTTAAATGCAATCAGATTTAAATTGGAACATCTCAGCAGTCTTTTCTTCAAAGAGAATTCATAGCTTAGTTATTTCTGAAACATCATGGCATTTTGCCATCCCCCCACCACACACATTTATTATATATTTTTTTTGCACCTCAAATACAGTGCTCAGTTTTGGTCCCCATCTACAAGATATTGAGGCAATGGAATGAGTCCAAAGACAGGCAATAGAGCTGGTGAAAGGTCTGGAGCATAAGTCTGATGATGGGCAGATGAGGGAGATGGGAGTGTTTAGCCTGGAGAAAAAGAGGCTCAGGGGCAACCTCATCACTCTCTACAACTGCCTGAAGCGAAGGTGTAGCCAGGTGGGGATTGGCCTCTTCTTCCAGGCAACTACTAATAGGACATGAGGAAACGGCCTCAGGTTGCACCAGGGGAGGTTTTGATTGGATATTAAGAAAAATTTCTTCCTGCAAAGGGTTGTAAAGCATTGGAACAGGCTGCCCAGAGAAGTGGCAGAATCACAATTCTTGGAAGCGTTCAAAAATTGTGTGGATATGGCATACATATCCAGTATACAGTTCAGGATACAGTTCAATGGTGAACATGGTAGTGCTGGGTTGACAGATAGACCTGACTGCAAAGGTCTTTTCCAACCTTAATGATTCTATGATTCTGTTATTGAAATTGCACTGTTTCTACCTAAATATATTAAGCAGATCTTGGTATTCCAAGGAAGGAAAAAGGTGTTTAGAATGTTGTAAGCTAAAACTTGTGACAAGAATACTAGGAAGAATAAAATAAAATCTTAAAACTGCCTGCTTTATAGTATTTTGCTTTTTATCTAATCCCCTTAGTCTTTTTGCAGCATGTGAAGGCACCTAAATCCTATGTATCCATGTAGTACTGAATTATGTCTGAGTTTGAACTCAATTTAGCTAACCCAAAAGTAGGCAAACCTACATGGTGAACACCTGCTAAGAAATTTCAGAAAAGAGCATTCTGCTCTGGCATATTATCTGTATTACAATCTTGGCTGAGCTCACAGCAATTGTGAAAAATAATTAGGAGTAAAAACCACAGCTGAAGTATCACAGAAAAAAACTTGAGGTCTTAGGGAGTTCTGTATCACATAGGCATATTTTAGTAAAAATCTTCTACTAATTTTGATATTAGAATTTAATAGATAGTACTTCATATTTTGGAACCACTATAAGAGCTGACAAACTTTTCAGATTGCCACTCCCAGTTATTAAATTTCTCTAAGCAAATCTACATAGCCAATACTGAGCTTACCAAAATCAGAATATGTTACGCATTATGTGATTAACTGCTTCTTCCCTAAATCTGGAACTCACTTTCCCCTTTGGTATCTTCTGCTGTGTTTAACACCAGCAAACACATCCCTTGTTTTACAGTTGCAGGATCCTAATAAATATCTTAACAAGATTTTAATAAGTTCTGAAAGAAAACTGAGCCACAAGTGGTGCTCCTTATCTCTACTTTGCCTCTTCCATGGTCTTACTGATGCAACAACTCCCAGGAGTCCCAAGAGTCTGGATGGGCCCAAGTTACAATATCACTGACCTTTTCATTGTTGTCAGGTTTCTTTTCGGCCAAGCCAGTTTTATGATGTAATTCTTTATAATTATTATTCCCAGCACATAACAGAAGAGAGAATTCATGGCCATGGAAATAAGTGGTGGAAATCCTCCTAACAGCCACTTGCTTTAAACTAACTCTATTGTCCTCACAAGATTTTTCAGCAGTATTTGTTTCATGAAGGGCTCCAAGCATGCTAAAATTTTGTTTTTATGCGATGATTATATTACATCAGTAGTACCTTAATGTGATCCCTCAATATTTAATATATTCATTCTCCCAATACACCTTCTAAGGTGAGCAAAATAATATAAGACATATTAAACACCATCTTAAAACCAAAGTAATAAGAATTCAGAATGCCAGGACGATTTCCTTGCTCAGTCTTGTTGAGAAAAAGCAGGAAAAATGCTCATGTTCCAAAATATAAATGTAACTTGCTTCTTAAAAAATAAGTTCCTAACAATAACCACAAGATGTCACTATTTTACAAAACACACAATATTATTGTCTGGCAGCAAGAAGCTTGTGATTTTTAGTCTGTCTACATGAAAACTTACTAAGGGGCATACATAGAAAACATCTGCCTCTTATATCTTTTGGCGAAAACTAATGACAACACCTAAGGGAGTCAGAGCTGTTAAAGTCTTAGAAGTTAACAACTAGATAAATACATTAAGCTCTTAGACATGTTCCAAAGAAAAGGAACATAAGTTTATTCTTTTACATACAAGCAAACACAGAGAAGTCAAGTTAGAGCTATATTTTGTGACCATATCTGGACTGTGAACATTACTGCAATTTATATCATAAAACCTGAAATGGATTTTCTTGCCTTACCTTGGCTTACTTTACACTGAAGTGTTTAACAACCCCAAACATGCTGCAACAATTTCATAAATTATAGGTGGTTATATTTCACCCCAGCTCCAGGGTAGATGAACAAGAATAAAGCTTTGTCTTGTCAACATTTGCATTGCTTATGTCTTTCATTACAAGTTCTAAAATGAACTAGTAGGAACGGATTCTCAGAGTTTAGTAAAGCTCATAAAATTAAAATAATTCTTACCTTGGTCTTTATGATTGTGGTTTTTTTGTTAGTTTGAACAGCAGAAAATAGCAGAGACAGAGAGCATTGATCATCATTCAGTTTTGAACTAGAATCAGATTCCTTCAAGAGAAAATTGAATTGTCCGGTTTTAAAATAGGTTGTCTTTTTGTAAACACAAGATGTTTTCATAGCTACATGTATATACTTTAAGTTACAATATTTTCAGCAGCTCTAAGAACTCATACAAAAACCTGTCTTTTAGCAAGCAACACTACAAAGGCATGCATATGCTTCTGAAAGCACTTGAGGGACTAAAAGCAGAGAACAAAAGGTTGCCTACCAGGTGCATTTATGAGGCACTGCAGCAATAGCAGTGCCTAAGCAAAGCATAGATAAGACAAACTAAAACCAGAGAACAGATCTGATTTAAGTTAGTATGTCAATCTATTCTGTACAATTATGTTAAGCATTGACAAGAAAATGATCATCCTGTGATTCTATTTAGAGATAAGTTTTGTTAGCACAAGGTACATCAGCTGTAGGGCACCATTCTGAAAAGGAGACTTAACTGAACAATTTCTTTTATAATTTAATGTGAAAACAAATGCTGAAACAATGTCTTATTTTTTTACCTTTGGACCTAAGCTGTTGCTGGATACTTGCAGGATTTCTGAAGACTCCAAACTGCATTCTGATGGCTCACAAGACCCATGAGACTGTGATGACTGTTCCAGTTCTATTAAGGGGGAGGACTCTTCCTCTGATTCATCACACACTGCCACATTAATCTGATCTTCCTGGGATAGAATGCAGTTGTTTCTCTGTTGGTGAAACTGCTGTGAAAATACAGTTTGAGATGGACCAAGATTTCCCGAGTTACTTTTGAGGCCGCTAAAGCACTGGGAAGAACTTTTCTGCATTTTTCCAGGAGGGGTAAAGACAGTCTGTGGTGATTTTTCAGTTTCTGAAAACCTAGAAACATCTTCAGCTACATGTTTTATTTCCTGTATCTGGCAATCCTGCTCAGCATCCTGAGTTAGGGCACCACCTTCCTTCTTTGCTCTACTGTCAAACATAACTGCATCATTGCAGAAAAACCTAAAAAAGGAAAAAAAAAAGTGAAAGCAAGGGGGAAGAAAGTTATGGATGATGACATACTAATTTGCATCATTGTCTTTATCCATCAGTTTTATTTTCAAGGTATACTTGCAGACAAATTATTTTGGCAAAAGGAAAAGTCCCACAGGGAGACATTTAGCGGAAAAAATAAGCAGGAAAATGCCATTTTTACAGATGCTTTCTTTGGCTGAAATACTAAGAAGGTTCTTCACCTGAATGAGAAACATCTAGAAATTCTACAACATTTAAGAATATATTAACTATGATAAAACTAGTAGTGAAATACTTCAGCACTACTTACCAAGGAAAATAAAACCTTACTACTTTTTTTCTATGCTATAGTAGCGGTTCCTGAGAATACTGAGCACAGATTTAGGGAAAAGCCTATCATCAGTGACAACTCTTAATATTTCATGCAATAAAAAAACTTTCCAAAACTTTCAGCTCAGAAAGGTGTGCTTTAAAACTAAGGTATTAAGATTGCTCTGCAAAATTGCACTGCTCAAAAATATTCATATTATTTAAGATAAAAATTACACAATAATAGATTAAAAAAAAGAGAGAAATCAAGTAATTGTGGCCAAATGGGACTAAATGAAAAAAAAAAACCCTAAGAAAGTCCCTGTTCTCAAAGTGCTGCTGCAGAGATCAGTAGTGTCAGCTGAATGGGATGGGATAAGAATAGGTATTTGTCATAGAGGATGACCAGGTTTATCTTTACTGAAATAAACAAAAAGCCCCATCAACTTAAGTCCATGTATTCATTAACTGCTTGCATATTTGCCGCAAAGTAGCTACCCTTGTTTTTTTGAGATATGTCATATGTCCTTTACCTGGAAAAAAACCCCAGCCAATTCCTAATTAATTTTGATACCCGGAGATACTGAATACTTTCTTGAGAGCCACTAAATTGATCAGAGGTGGAGCACCTCTCCTACAAAGCAAAACTGAGAAAGTTAGCACTGTTCAGCCTAGAGAAGAAAAGGCTCCAGGGAGACCTTAGAGCACCTAGAGAAGAAAAGGCTCCAGGGAGACCTTAGAGCACCTTGCAGTATCTACAGGGGACCCTAAAGGAGAGCTGGAGAGGGACTTTTCACAAGGGTATGTAGTGACAGGACAAGTTGAAGGAGACTGAAATTAGATACTGGGACAAAATTCTTCACCTTGTGGTGAATGGGAGTGCGGCGGTGCACTGGAACAGGTTGCCCAGAGAAGCTGCCCCATCCCTGGAAGTGCTCAAGATTAGGTTGGATGGATCTCTGAGCAGCCTGGTCTAGAAAAAGGTGTCTTAACAATGTCAGGGGGGTTGGAATGAGATGATTTTAAGGTCTGCTCTGAACCAAACCATTCTATGAATAGTATCAGTCTTCACTTCAGCAGTAAAAAAAAGGAATATTATCTGTCTCCCAAAAGATAGCATGCCTAGCACAAAGGATCCACCACCTCAGCTGAGGTGCAATACAGTTTTATAAAAAGTTTGAGGTAGCGTTTTTCCTATTTTCATTATTCAGGCTATTTTAGCAACCAGGACAGCAAATAGTGTTTTGTTGCTCATAAAAACATGTGACAAACATACCTGCTTCTTGTTCCTGGAACAATTACAGCATCCTTCTCTTTGTTTTTCCTTTGTAAAAAGGAAGCAAATTTATTTCTAATTCTGGGTAGGGAGTTAGAGCTTTCTTGAGAGATGGAAATTCCTGGAGAATCAAGGTCTTGTATTGCTGACACACTCTTTTGTGCTTGACCATCATTATTCTCCTTCTTGATTTTTTTTGATTTTGAAAATGAATATTGCTTCAACAGATCTCCATCTGAGAGCTCTTCTGAATCTAGAGACAATTTAAGCATCACTGTAAAAGCACATTCTACAATAAGCAGTTATGAGTTAGCTAAACATTACATTTTTACTGTCACAGGCTTAAACATATTAGTAGGATCTGGTAAGAAAATAGAGTTTAGACGTCTTTAATGCCACTGTTTTCTAGCATAGCCTTAAACATACCCTTAAAAATAATTTGGTGAAAAGGTAGATGGAGTGAAGGTAGAACAACTACAATGAAACTACATTTGGTTTAGAGGCAGGTTGCTGAACTACCTAGAGACTTTGATAAGCAAGGGAGTAGGAAGATACCTGGAGAACCAAAGGAAAAAAAGAAAGCTCCAACAGTATAATCAGAAAGCAAAGGAAGCAGTGGAAAACACTTAACATAAAGCACAATAGGAACAAAAAGTGCCTCTTCTATTACAAGCCCACAGTTTATCCGAGCACATATAACTCAGGTGGCATAGAAGACAAGATAACACAGATGCACTAGAGAAATGAAAAATTTGGCAAAAAGAGCACCTATACAGGGGATTAGATGCAACACAGTCTGAGTACAGAAAACATTCTTTATGTTTTCAGACTGGCCTAATATCAGTGCTAGGAAAAACAGGCTGGTTTAACTTCTTCACAAGGCATTTTAAGATAGAAATTAAAACCAAAACTATATCAAAATACAGCTTGTATTAAACATAACCTGAAATTATAGCAAACCAAAGCCTCATACCATAAAGTACAAGATAAAATCCTTTCTTTTCCCACAACCTTCTACTGTTGTTCATATACTTATTTAATATAAACATACCACTCCTTGGCCTTTTTGAGAAGAGCTCTTTGCCTGCAAGCTTTAGTCCTTTAACACTAATTATTTTCTCCATGCCTTTGGTTAATGGTTTCTCTGGGAAATGCACTTTAGGAGGAGCAGGATCTTCAGTGAGGCCAAACTTGTATTCTCTGCTCCAAATGCTGTTGACATGATTATCACGTCGGTCATTCCAGCCACAACTTCTCTGCTGCACAGACTACAGAAAACCAAGTTAAAAACCAAGACACAGGTTTATAATCTTGCCTTCTAGATATGATTTCCTGACTTAGAACACAAAGAAGGAAATATTGACATTTGTACATCTAGTTAGTCTACAAAAAACATTTTTTGTTCCTACAATTTTCATGCTTTTCATACTTTTTGTTGTGCTCCCACGATGTCTTCATTTCAATACGGCACTAGTGACTAACTGCTCATCTCAGAGCAAATTTAAAGTTTCAAATTTATTTCTGTTCAGGAAACAATTTTGGATTATTCTTGGAAGAAATCCAAAACTCTAAGAATTTTCTCTTTAAGTCAGTTACTTCTGTAAAAATATTTAAGGACCTAGCAAATACGTTTGAAAGTAAAACAGATATTTAAGTCAAATGCCATGAAAAATAAAACTTTACCTTTTAAAAAAAAAGAGAATTATGTGTATAGGAGCACACAGTTTCTGTAATATCAGAATAGCTTTCACTGACAACTCATTTGTGGATAACACTCAACCACATTTCCCCATTAACATTCAGACCCACATCAAGTTCTTAATGTCTAACTTCATAATAAAGATGTTACCTGTGCCATGTCAGGGTTATAGCTATCAATTTGTTCCATTGTATTGATATCAATATTGCCAACAGCAATTTGAAAAGCAGTATCATCACCAACATGACTGTTTCCATCATAGTAAAGGAAAATATATGAATATTACATTATGTTTCAACAACTGTACCATGAAAGTTAGAACAGCCACTATCCCATTTTTCCACTAAAAGGCATGGCTAGAATATTAACCCAAAGGACCAATACTACTACTCCTGGCTCAGTCTGATGTAACAGCAATTGTAATAGATCTGCAGTCTTTGGCATATCATGCAAGTCAATATTAAATTCTTCAATTATCAGCAGGAGAGGCAGCAGCTTCCTCCTTCCTAATTTCTGCAAGTGCCAGAGATCAGATGGTTTGATCATACAAAGCTAGTAACTACTTTAACAGTCCCCTCTCTTCCTTCATTTTCCTAATCTTACATGTTGAAATTTACACTGCACAGATGTTGCAAAATGCTACCTTTTCTATAGGAAGAGGGATCAGGTAAAATAGGAAATACTAAGATTAGAGACTGAGTTGAGTACAAACTGCAAGAATTAAACTGGAAGAGATTATAGCATACAACACAGGCAGAAATTCAAGACTGCCATAAAGCAGTCAGTTTATATTTAAACTGTAATTGACAATTTTTTTTTCTAACAAGAAGAGCCAGATAAATAACTTCTGCCTGTATCAATAATAGGTCATTTGGTTACCCCCTGCACTTAAAAAAATATATTAAAATCAGAGCAAAAGAGAAAAGAAGGAAACCCCCACAAAAGTTTAAGATGGCAGAAAAGCCAGACTTTAGTCAAAGCAGGGAAAAAAAATCTAAGTATACCACAGATGCAATGAAAGTTGCAAGATACCACATCAGCTCACTCTTATTTCCCCATTCTGCTGTTTCAACACAAAGGATACCGTCCTGCATAAGTCAGTGTTTCTGGATCAATATCATCTCCATATGCATTCAGAGGAACTAACTTTCTGTTGACAGGATCAAAAACTAACTGATACAGAAATGTATTATTAGCTCGTGTAAAACCCTGTATGTACTCTTCTGGTACTGTTATATTCATCTTCAAGTACTGCCCCATTTTCTTAATAACCTGTCAAAAAAAGAAATTACTCAACTGTTTAATTTTAACACGTTATGTGAAAGGTTAAGTATGTGTCAAATATTAATTCTCTTTGCTTGTAATTAAATGTAGAATGAGTGTCCTACTGCAACAAGCAGATTCAACTTAAACAGGGGAAGGAAAGAAAATAGAACCCCGTGCATTCTTTTCCCACTCAAATTGTCTACAATTATAAAAATAACACAATTCAATTTTTGTATCGCCTTCAATACAAACATCAGTACAAAATTAGAGATCAGAAAAACATATAATCTCCTTAAGGTGTATTTATTTAAACTAATGCACATCAAATTTTTATCAGGATGTATAAGCAATATGTGGGTGTTCTTATAATGGAAAAAAAATTGCAAAACCAACCAGAATAAGCCCTGGAATTTTTCTCAGACATACATCAAAGCAAATAATGATTTGCGTGGGAAAAGTTCAAAGTTCCTCTTTTACTTCCTCAAAAGCCAAACCAGTTGCTCTGATGTCTGCTCTGTATGATACAAAACACTTTAAATTTAAAAATCATGGTTCTTTTTCTGTGAGAGAAAAAGATAAATACACTAAAACACAAGGAATTTAAGAAATAAGATAACACACTAAGTTAATTAAACTGCATATTAAAAGGCTTTTTTGGACTAGATTTACCTGCCTCCAGGACAGCGCCATGAGGTATTCTTATTAGCTCTTAACCTCTCTACTCCCTTCTTACCCATACAGAAGAAGTTATTCCAATCCTCTTAATCTCTGTATTTCCTAGTATGAGATTTGCTTTAATTTTATACATTGGACAAGAAAAAAAAAAAAACACCCTATATGAATTTGTTTTGCATCATATCACACTTTTCTTCCATACTGTTTTTAATATAGAAATGTCCATATCTATGGATGCGTGTAATGAAATAGGATTCCAAATCTCTGTGCCTCCCTCACAGAGATAAACCTGTACTTATGCAGAAGTTACAGTTCATTGAACAGTTCTAATAACTAATCTGCAGAAGCAGAAGAAATCAGTAATGAGGGCGGGGGGTGGAAATCAAAGTCTTAACAAAAGTTTCCCTTCAAACAGAATATACCCTTGAAGGATTAAAACAATTCTTTACCTACGTTTACCGTGGTATATTTTTTATAAATATATATCAGCTTCAGCACTTGAGTAAGTTTAGGCCAGTATCTTTAAGAACAGGTAAAAATACTGTTTAGTATTCTCCTCAAAATGGAGGAAGACAAAGCTTCATATTTTCAATTCAGTGCTAAATTTTGTATATACTATTATAAGCTGCCAAAAAACAAAACACAAAGCAAAACTGAGTTTACCTTTATAATATCTGGATTGTTGGCTAATTTTAGTAACTTGCATGCTTTAGCTAACCCAATTCCATGAATTGAAGGGAGGTAGTCACAACCAGAAAGAATACACATGTAGCGGAATTTCTCTTCTGTAAATACATTTCCAAGCTGCTTGCAGTTTCCTAGTCGAGTTTGATCTATCTCTAGTCCATTTCCAAACTTGTCAATTTTCAGAAACACCTGAAAGTTAAGAGGAAGTGAAAACAATAATTTTTACCCATATAAGGTGTTTCATTGCACTTGGTGGAAACAAGACAAGGCAAAGTGCTATTCCTATCTCTTGTTTCCCACATTTGGTGTAGAAGAATTAATCCATACACCAAACATATTTGGCAACTTCAAACTCTGCTTTTCTGACACCAGCAAGAGGTAAAGGTTATTAGTATTTTCTTCCATACCTTTTTACATCCAAAAGCTAAAAGATCAGAGTCTTCCGTTATTATAGCTTGAACCATGCCAGTCTTATTAAGATAAGCCAGCTGAGCATCAGCTTCATAAGGAGCAACAATACAATCAACTCCCTGGGCTCGTGCAGCCTGTACATAAAAAATCAGCACACAAGTACTTTGCATTAATTTTCAGTAATTACCTTAAGAGACCTGAAAGCATAAAAAACCTCTACATTAAAAAGCCAAAACCATGACCTTTTAACCACAGATCCATCCTTCCCTCAGTAAGAGTCCAATATTTCATAGTCAGAAACTCCACTTTAAAGCAGTTTAGATCTATATACACTGGTTTACAAAAACAACCTTTCCTGTAACACTCTCCTATAACATCTGACCACAGATGACAATGTTGAACTCATGCAAGTTATATTCTGGACAAAAAAGAACAGTACTAGAACAAACTTAATACTTTTTGATAAAGACCCTATGACTGCATTTAAATTATAGCAAAAAGTTACTAGAACAATTTTTAATCAGCCAATTTTTTTTTCTGTAGTCTATGCTCAGAAACTAGAAAACAGAAAAATATTTTTAAAAAACCCTTAATTTTTTTTGTGCTGCAAAAGTAAAACAGATGTTATCAAATTCAGTTCATAGAGGTGGGAAGAGATGCCTTTTGTTTGACACGTCATTATTATTTATACAAATAGGCATAATAAACTTTAAGCTTGTTAATTGTGTTTAACACAATCCAATAACATGCACAAAAATTAGAGACTAAGCAAGTGGGAATACTTTCCTTTTCTATATAGAAGAGGCAGTGATGTAGCCACAAAAATGCAGAGTAGGATATGCTACCTATTGCAGAGATTTTTTTAAAACTGGCATTATCAATAATGTTGACAACTTACTTTAATAACTTCATGAGCCATAGCATGGGTAATATTTACACTTCGCCCAAAACATTCCCTAGCCTCTGACAGTCTCCCTTCCTGCAGCAATTGCTTCCCTTTCAAAAGACTGGCTTGACGCCTCCTAAAAGAAAGACAAAAATATCCACCAATCTCAGATTATTTTTCACTTAAAGAACAAACAGCAGAAGGGAATAAGAGAGACAGGTAAGAAAGGGGGGATATCGTAACACCTCCCAAATCTGGGCTACTGCATAACTTTTAAAAACAAAATAATTACTAGGTCACTGCATTGACAAAGACAACAAGATTTGAATGCTGAAATTGATAATATTTTTTCAGAAAACAGTGACAAATAGGAACTGAAATTAGCAGTGTAAAAGAAGAAATGCATGCACTCAGCTTGCAGTAAAATAGATTTAATGGGAGTTGGGAGTATCTGACACTAGATAGTTATTGATTCAGAGGACAGAAAACCTAATTTACCTAATTTCATAAATCGGAAATTGTTCACTTCACGCTGAAGAAAGCATGTGTCTCATGAGACTTCATAAATAACAACCACTACTGAAAAATTCTCATAACTTCAGTGAAATGTCCCATTTATAGGGACCTGAATCCAAATTTGAAACAACATTATCTTGTTAGTTGTAGAGAAAGATGAGGAAAGGGGTACTATTTTAAAATAAAATTATGGTGGAAAAAATATTTTTGTCCAGAGATCACAAGTGTGGGTAAACTAAAAGCTTTTAGTACATAACAGGAACTACTGCTCAAAGGCTTACTTCCTTCCTTTATAAAATAGCTTTCATTTATGAAGTGCATTTCTATATTTGGAATAAAACCTCTAGGAAGTTTGTATGATTTTAGATGCAAATTAAAAAATATCACACTACATTGCAGCAGAGTTTACCAGAATTTACTTCCTAGCTGAAGTTGGAGGGTTTTTGATTTTTACTGTAGTAATAAAACTGCTTTGCTTGCAAATCAGTACACTTCAGTACTTACTCTCGTCGTGCCTTTTCCACTTCCTTCTTAGATGGTAGGGTACATCCATCAAACACCAAAATTGGTTTAATTCCAAATGAGAGGAGCATATGAACAAATTTCATACAGAAACCTACATAACTGTATCAACAACAACAAAAGTAAGAAAAGTGAGATAAACTTTATTGCTAATCACAAGTCTATTACACATTTTCCAGATGCAGGACAGGAGAACTGTCAATTTAGGACTAACTAGTGTTCAAAAATCATAACAGGCTGAACATTCTCCCAGTATCACAAAAAACAAAGAACATTTGAATGCAGTTTGGTTGATTTTTTTTGACCAAGAGAAACAATCCACCTCCCAGTTCAGAACTGGGCTGACTGCTCCTCTCTCCCAGACAAAATGAAATAAGAATTAAAGTATAATTCAGCTGATTTTGCTGCATTAGGATTCAATACTGACAAAAACTTAACCAGTTAAAACACGGATTGTCTTTTTACTTTCAGCAACTCAATTCCGAATGGCCAGGGAAACAGGAAACAGACAAGCACAGTACATGACCTTCCCCCAGAAAGGCAGACTAAAAACACTTTTGTCGAGTTGGAAGTGATGGGGTTATTTAGTCTCTCCTGGTAGAACTATACACTCTTCTCTCCAGATAATGGATATATCCTATGGACAAGACATGCAAACATATCTTCCCATACTATAAATACAGGCACAGCACTGGAAATATTCCAAAAGACAGCGAAGTTCCCCTTCTGTACAAACTGTGAAGATGGTATATGGCTCAGGAGGCAACCATCCACTGCCTTCAAACCCATTCCTTGAAAAAATATTTGTTGGGCATTCCAGATATTAGTTATTCCCTCAAACCTCTCATCTTCTTACCTGTTATTCCTACATATGTGTATGAGATCGTTTTATCAGCAGCACAGAATTAAAATCTAACAACTGTTGTAAATACTAAGCAAGCATATTGCAGCGATGCTCAAAGAAAAAAGATAATTTAATTTTAAAGACACTGTTTAAAACAGCAAAAGCAACCTCATTAACAGAAGAAGGGAGGAGAAGGAGAGTGGGATTTAGAAGCATTTAGAATGCAAGGATAGAAGCACTGAAGAAACTAGATTTAGAGCTACAGAAAAATAACAGATTTTTGAAAGACAGGAGCACATAGCACTGTCACTATATAATACCTCCATCCAGATGAATTTTAAACTATGAAAGGTCTCTACACTATAGTTAAGGTGCCAGTCTAGGGCCATGTGTGCATGGAAACAAGATTTGCCCATAAAGTACTCATGTATTCAAATTCAACCATTCCAAAGTTTCCTATGACTTTATTTCTCCTGACAGTCAATCTTTTCCTCAGGTGAATTGTATCTATTCTCAGGAAACTCCACTACCTTCAAGGCAGGACTGGACTGAAACTCCACAGTTCTTAACATAAGCAGCAGTAAATATCTGAATCCATTTGCAAAGCATCAACTCTCTCTTGCCTCCAATCAAACATTTGATGGATCCAAGGGTCCCTGGATGGTGCCAAGCAATAGGACAGGAGGCAGCAGGCAGAAACCAAACCACGGGAATTCCACTAGAAGATAAGTAGAACTTCCTTGCTGGGCAAGTAACCAAGCACTGAAACAGGTTGGCCAGAGAGGTTTTTGAACCTCTTCCTTCTCTGGACATATTGAAAAGCCATCTGGACACAACCCCAAGTGACGTTCTCTAAGGGAGCCTGTATGAGATGACATGCAGTGGCCCCTTCCAACCTTACCTATATCCAATCTAAAACAAGAGTTCAAGCCATATTGCCAGAGAAGGGCAAGAAGTGCAAACCTGGTCTAAGGTGTGGACTTGAATCTGAAGTATGACCACAATTTTTGTTCATTTCCTTCCCCAGAACTGTAACTGTGTAAATGTTTTTTAAAAGCTACTTTAACTAAAAATGTAGTATGTTCAGCAAAAAATCTTACACGTTATTCAGAGCACAACACATCTTTCAAAATTCCTTGGCATCATTACAACCTTTGTCACAGAAGTATTTACAAAGTCTCTTTGCATGCAAAAAAGGTATCTGAAAACAACATTAAATTTGAAATTAAAGAATTGCATGTACAGAATTTCACCAGAGAAATCAGATTATAGTTGAGAGTGAAACATGCTAGGACAAAAAAACCTAACTGATACAGCCTTGAGTATTCTAACAAAAAAAATATTTGAGAACTTTTTCCCCCAATATATTCTTAAATACTTTTTTTTTATTTTGTACAGCTGAACGCTGTTTATTTATCGCCAAAAATTTCAATTTCAAAAGACTTCAACTCAGAATTCATAATCAATAGTAAGAAACGTAACTAATGTAACTTAGTTTTTAGTTCAAGAAACACCAAGCTGACAAAACTTCAGTTTTAAAAGGGCTGAGAGCTAAGCGTAAGAAAGACTTACAAATCCGTGGGCTCTCCCCGGGCCAGCTTCTCAGCACAAGCATAGGCGCCTTTGTGCAGCCAGCAGTAGGTGTCCACAGCCACCGTCATTCCTTGGTATTTCTTCACGTGGGAAGGCTCGGCAGCCTCCTTGATGAACTGCAGCAGGCCCTGGATGCCCATGATGCCGCGGAGCGGGGAAGCAGACAGGGAGAGAGCGCAGAGCCGAGCGCGGCGTGCCCTCGACCCTCGCTCGCCGGGGCGCTCACCGCCGCGGCCGCGAGGAGCTCCCGCGGCTGCCCCGCCGCATCCCGGCCCGGGGCCGCCTCCCCACGCGGCGGGGCCGGCTGTACGCGCGGCGGGCCGGCTGTACCCGCGGCGGGCCGGCTGTACGCGCGGCGGGCCGGCTGTACCCGCGGCGGGGCCGGCTGTACGCGCGGCGGGCCGGCTGTACCCGCGGCGGGGGCGGCTGTACGCGCGGCGGGCCGGCTGTACCCGCGGCGGGCCGGCTGTACGCGCGGCGGGCCGGCTGTACCCGCGGCGGGCCGGCGCTCCGGCGCTGGGGAGACAGAGGCGCAGAGGGGCGCGGAGACGCTGCGCGGCCCGGCCGGCCGAGCTCAGGCGCGGCTCGTCGGCCGCGCGGCGCTTTCGAGCAGCGCGCGCTCGGCGCCGTGGCCCCGCCCCGCGCACGCGCGGCGAAGCGATGCCCAGGGTGCCCCGCGCGTGCCCGAGGGCGTCCCGCGCGGAGCGCGGCGTCTGTAAACGTTAAACGCGCGTGACAAACGAATCGGTGGATTTAATAATCAAAGGGGTTTTTAAATCGAGTCAAAGCAAAATTGGAAAAGCCGCAAGCAGACCAGAGCCGAGCCAGGCGATCGGTGCTGCGTGAACTGGGTCCGGGCTACTGCAGCACCGTACCCTGGCGGCTCACTGGGTACCGATTTCTCTTTGATATTGTTTCCAGACTTGGCGGGATTCTGGGGGGATCTTCCTGTTTCCTCTTGTCCTTTTTCACATATTCATGCATCTTCTTCTCTCGTGATGCTTCTAAAAGGAGGTTTCCCCGCAATACTCATTGCTGAAATCCTGTTAGACGGTAATCTCTTCGAATATTTTGTTCTGGCGACGAATATTCATCTTATCGTTCAAGGCATATCTTCTAGACAGAGTAATGTTTCAGAATAACCATCCTTTGAGGCAGAAATTAATCCTGTGTATGTTGCTCTTTCCCGTCACTTGGTTTCATTAAAAAGGACACTGTATTTTTTAGTCCTGAGCACGAATTTATGCTAAATTAAATATTACATACGCATAAATCAAAAGTCCCCGCAGAGTTCTAACAGGACAATGGACTGCAGCCAACGCGGTGAGAGGGAGGGAAGGGAGGGGCTGAGGTGGGTCACTGCCTGCCAAGGATGCAGCGGGGACAGATGTTATTGTTACAGCGCTGAAACCCCGGGATTAATGTAAGAACGGATGGCCGAAGTAAATAAAAACATAAATTTCCATAAATAAAAGCAAAAATTGCAGTAAGATATAAATGTAGGCCAATTACAGATAGAAGTTTCTTTTTCTACATGCCATTTAGAAACCTGTACAGTTCTTAGATACTTTGACTCGGTGACATGGATGACTCAGTCAGCAGTGTAAAAAGCAATGTTTCCAGTGGACAGCAAAGTTTAAATTCAATGCATTCTGGAAAGAGCATATCTGAATTACAATTTCTCAGCTAAGAAATGCATAGAAATAACTTGGCCACAGTGATAGCATAAGATGTTTTGATGTTGAAAATATCAATTGAATTCTGCTTTGTGAATTCTTTTTTCACTCCATGATTCTGACTATATATTACACACTCCCCAAGTTTTAAATGCAATTGCAGTTAGAATCCATTTGGATTAGGTTATCTTATTTTAAAAATATGTTCTTTTATCACTTCTGATATTTCTTCTTCTATCAAACTGCTGTGCTCATGGGAAGATAAGTAATCAGAGTGGACAATGTAATCTACCAATATCATTGGTACATAAATTAAAAATCTTACATGTAATTCAATTAAAAATACTTTTGACTATTTTCTGTAAATTAAAAATAGTTTAAAATAGTCCTAAGGTGAACCTCAAAGTCAGAAGCACTGGAGCCAAATAACTTGCCTTGAAAGAAGCCAGAGCTACAGAACTCTTGCCCAGCTCAGGTTTTCCTTTTCAATTCCTTCACCTGAAAAGATAAATACTTTGGAATTGAACAGTTAGCACAACATGCCTTAACATTCAGTTTATTACAAATATCTTCAGCCATGTATGAACCAGTGTGATCCACCCTTGTGAGGTCTTCCATAAAATACAAGCTTGATACCATGAGTCAAAGGCTTTGTTGGTTTCAGTAGAGCTATCTTGACTTAAACCTGGTTAAAGATACCAATCTTTCAGTTCAACAGTGTCTCCTGGAAGAAAGTAGTCAGATGGTGACATTTTGGTGGGTTATTCCTTTGAAGAATATCACAGTATTGCAGTTTTATTTCCCATAGGTACCAGATGAAACAGGAAAGCAGCACTGCATTATGGTTAGTTACAAGACTTGTAGTAATAGAGAGAATTATTTTCTTTCACAAGAAGCTCCTGTATCAGGAAAACTGGTAAGACTATAAATTATTATGCCAAATCTCTGCTGTGTGTTTTTCTCTTTCCTTGAGCAGTTTTGTAATAGTGACTGGCAGAATACATTTTAAAGAGATCTTGAAGTAGGAAGTATAGCAGAAACATTGTGTTTTCTTTGCAACTGTTTTCTTTCATGTAATAAAAAGGAAGTATAGAGTATAGCCCTATTGATCCCTAATAGAAATTGGAGATAGGTGCCCAAGATAAAAACACTGAAGTACCTCTAGAAATGCTTCTTTCTCAACACAGCTCTCCTAAAGAGAGGGAATGGGATCACTGATGTAAACATCTAACCTTTACACAGACAAGTAAAGCAAAATTAAATTTGTGCCCGCTACAATGGGCAAGGACATCCTCCAGATTTTTACTAAACTTCCTTCTGTGCAGTGTCTGGCACAGCTGAAAGTGTCTTCTTGCAGAAGATGAAAATCCTCAGAAAGAAAACCAGCACTTTGCTGAAGCTCACAATCAGACCATCAACCTTGTGATATTAATAGACTGTCTGGTTTACAATAATTTTTCCAAAACTTCAGTGAATTTCTTATTACTGCTACTGTATTGTTTTCACTGCTTAAGAAGTCGATCACTTTTATCTCAAAAAGTTTTTTTGGAAGTTAGTTGGACTATTTAATCAATTTCTTAGAAAATAAATTTGATTTTTCTCTGATAGGTGGCAGCTTTATATTCACCACACCATTTATCTATTGTTGAAATATCTATTATTGGACTATATATTTTCACAGCTTTTTTTAGCTTCGCTAAGAAGACATAGTTTTGTTACGGGTATCTGCTGATTATGTTAACTTAGTAGCTATTCTGAACTTGTCTTAAGTTGGGTTGTGCTACACTTGTGTGGCACTTGTGCTACGCTCTGCCCCTTGTGTGGCAAGATTTTTAGCTCTGGAAACATAATGTCAGTATAGAGAACAAAAGCATACTAAACACTAGTATCTCAGTAGTGCAT